ATATATATTTGTTGTCAATGCACAATAATAGTAGAAATATAAGGAAAACAATCGAAATGATTTTCAACTTCAGAATCTTAAGCGATGGACGCATTGAAGAAGAACGATTGACAACACTAAGATTGTGAAAAATCAAATACTATTAACACCAGAAAACAATCTTTTCATATTAATTTTCTACTAGTGAACCCATTCTGATGGTTTTGGTTCGTTTAATTGTGCAAAAACGTTTTCCTAAGCGATGGATGCATTGAAGAAGAACAAGCGAACAACGAGAAGATGAAAAAATATTCGTTTTCCCTTTTTCTCCAAAATAATAACAGCGATTTAAAGAGAGTTTTCTCGATACTTGCAAAGAAATAGAGAGTTCAATATTGAAGTAAGCTTTCTGGAAAAAGATCAGTAATTAATTTAATGTTCTCAATAATGTCTGAAACTGTTTTTGTTATTTGTCTGAGTTAAATAAGTATCCAAAAACCTATTGCTTCAAATAATCTGGAACGACGCATTCAGATATACAAAATGATTTTTGCAAAATTAACTTCACTAATACTTTTCTGCTTACAAATATGTTTGGACAGTGAGTTTTTATATTAGAATTAGGACGAAAAACGTTTCAAACTATTTTCGACTCAAGAATTTTCATTATCGATGAACGCATTGAACAAGAACGAGTGAACTAGACTACAAGGAGATTAGAGTAAAAGTAAATAGTACATGAGCAAAGTACATGTTTTATATTAAGCTCGTTATAGACTGATAACTTTGAACATTCTGATAGAGCAGTATTGTTGAAAAATCGCGATTATATTTACTGTTTTAATGGCGGAAATATCAAAGCAGATAAAAGTATTTAAACTATGCAAGTCAATATCTCAGCGAAGTTTTACCATTTCAGGATTTATAGAAGTGCTGCTGACAAAGACAGTTCCCTCGTATTAGAAACAAACTTTCAAATCAAACATTGGAACAGGCAAATCTTTCAAAAATTACATAAAAGTGAGAATAAATTTTACTTATGATTATGCTTATGCTTATGTCGATGCTTTGTCATTGATTTTCTTGATTTGCTGGTTGTGTTTGCGTCTTAATCTCATCTTAATACATCAACGTTTAATTTCAAGTGTTATTTTATCGAGTAGTTGCTTTGTTATTTTATGGTATTTTYTTTATCTATAGCGACGCCACTAAGCAGCAATGGAGGACCTCATTGTTTGAACTCTGCGTGTTACCAGCAAATGTAAGGCCATATTGATAAACAACTTTGACTCAAGTACAATTTCAATACATTGGAATAACAAATGTTTTGAAAACACCATAAAAGGTAAGTTTTTTTATAAATCATAATCTTATTGGCCTGTTTGATGTTTGCATTTTTCTAGTGATCAATGCGTCACCTTTCCAAAATGNAGATTTTCAATTTCTCTTTGCGTTTTAGCTTCGATTTTTCGGATAGAATAAAATGACAGGTAGCCTACTCCACTGGGTCGACTTTTGCTGTGCAAATTCCTCCCGTCGGAGGGTTATGTTTACAACATAAGCTTGTCAGCTTTGCGCTGATTGGCTAGTCGCATTTTCTCAAATCACCCAGAAGTTGAAAATGGAAATAAAGATGAAATAAAAAACCTTAGATGATATAGAAATGCGCGTGTAAGGGAATATGGGTAACAATAGTCCTTTTAAGGACTATTAAAAGCTGCCAATCATTGAACCCATTCGCTTCTTTTAGAGAACTTGATCTACGATGAGCATGCGAAGAATGGCCACAAGTGCACCACTTCCACCCCCACCCTCACCCCCAGGAACGACAGCATCGACATCAAAGCAAAGAAGCAATTACACTCGTATTGGCAGACTTTTAACCGACATTGGAACAAGAGTGTTGAGGGGAGTTCTTGATTCGCACCACCCACCTGCTAGTCTACAGAAACATATCAACTCGCCCGCTGTWAACTCTACACTGAAAAAACTCAGAGCTAAGAGAGTTCTGAACACACAACAATGGAGCAAGCTATACCCACCRGCACCAGGAGTRCCATCGTCSRCKRCCTTCGATATAACACTGCTCTTCCTTCTMCTRMGGAATACCTGTGGTCTGACTSCACCTACTACAGGCTGGGATGCTGCCCCACTACCAACTRATRAAAGTAYAGTGGCTGATCTGATTCGAGTAAAACGATGCCGAAATGAAATCACTGGTCACAGCACAGCCGCAGAACTCTCTGATGCTGATTTTGAAACCCACTGGGCTGAAATTGAGGCAGCAATGATAAGACTTGGAGGATTGCAGTATGAACCAGAAATCCAGCTTCTGAAAATCGAGTCAATTGACCCAGAAAATGAAACCTACCTAAGTATTCTTCTTCAATCGTGGGAAGAAGGCGAAGAAAAGAAAATGGAAATCATCATACAAAAGCTAAATAAGATATCAATGCAATTACCTTCTGAAAGTAAGTCCTACAACAATTTTTACATCGCGATTGTTGCGCCACTTGCTGTTGCYACTCAATTCGTTCTTTTAAAAAGCTCTGCGATTAATTGTAGCGGCGATCAAGGGAGCACGTCAAAATGTTGTTTATTACCTTTTTTAATCCGTTGATTTGATCGATTCGTTCATTTCGTTTTTTAATATGGTTTTCCGCTGACCTTTAAGAATGCTGGGGGGCGAGCCGATTTCCGAACGAGYCCCGAATCTCGCCAGCATTCCTAAGGGTCAGCGGAAAACCATATTACAAAACAAAATGGCTATTATTCTATAGCGAACGAATCTATCGTGTTAAAGGATTAAAAAAGGTAATAAACAGCATTTTGCCGTGCTCCCTTGTGTCGATCAAGCATTGTTCGCTACTTATCGCCGTGACAGTTTTGAGCTTCTTTGAAAGACGATTTTTCAAAGGACAAATATAACACGATTACTTCAATAATTAAGTTAATTTATTTTAACAGATGAAAGTCTGCCACAGTTTTGCATTCTGCCTCAGAAACCATCTCATCCAACTATCAACCGTATCAGTGAAGTAACAGAGATAATGTCCAACATACAGCAACTTAAAGCAATGTTTCCACATGAAATCACCGTTACGTATTTGTCTGGTAATCCTGGTTGTGGGAAAAGTGAGATTGCGAGGCAGATTGGGAAGAAATATTTTGAAGACGTTGACGAATCAGCCAAGTGCGTGTCGACGCTGAACGCATCCAATCTTGAAAGCTTAACTCTATCATATATCGTCCTGGCAAGAAACCTTCGATGCAGCGAAGAATCCATAGCATCACTCAATACCATCACCTCTCAAGAACACAAACTCGCTCAACTACGAGGAAATGTCTCCATACAACTGCACAGCTACTACTCCTGGCTGATGATTGTAGACAATGTGGAAGATCTTCAGCTAGTCTCAAGGTTTCTCCCTCATACAGGCGAAAATCTGCAACACAGTAAAGGCCATATCCTAATTACAACGCAAGACAGCTATTCCATACCACTGCGTGATCCACATGCACATCATATGCCCTTGAGCCGTGGTATGGAACTTAAGGACGCAGTGGAATCACTGCTTGAAATTTCTGGATGTTCTGACAAAGAAGAAACTATGACTGCTGTTGCAAAGCAGCTTGATTTCCAGCCTTTAGCTCTCGCTTGTGCAGCAGTATACGTCCAGGAAGTCCGTATTGCAGATCCTACAATGATATGGGAAAAATACCTTCAGCACATCCAAAAATCCAATATTGAGCCAACTGAAACAATGTATGAAGAAATCAACAACTCGTATAAAAAGTCGATGACAACAGCTGTAAAGATGGCAGTTCAAAATGTYATAGAGAGAAGTCCAGTAATGCTCCATGCTTTTGAATTCTTGGCTGCTTTGGCTYCRGAGTTCATATCGTTAGATGATGTTGTAAGTTATGTGATGAAATGTATGCCTAACGAAGTCGASAAAAATTTAATGGCAAGAAAGATAATGAAGTCGTCACTCGTTCTTACGTCTGAGAATACAGTTGAACCAATGGTTCGTGTCCATCAARTTGTTTTCAAAGTTCTTCAATCAGTAGTCCAAGAATTACACAGCGACGAAGAAGACGAATTGTCGTATTTAACAAAAGTGATTGAAGTGTTTTCATATCTTGACAAAATGGATAAAACCAGCATTGATTACATCAAATCTACAGGCAAACTTGTTGTGCACGTGGTAAGTTTGTCTTACAAAGTAAAAATRTTTTTCGAGCGACGCGAAATTTTGCTTTCGGCAGAAAAGGACAAGTATGGAGTACGCTACCAATTAAACAGAACAACTACGAGTCAATATCTACAAGTA